GCATCTTCTGGCTGGAGAATGAAATCTGGCCCATTGAACCAGCGGCTGTTCAGGTTGAACTCTGAAAGGGGATTCCACGAGTTTAATCATCGGCGGGATGAGGTAACCTGGGCTGTGTTTCCATTGAGTAAGTTGGGTGAGCTCTAGTATCTCAGCTACACGGTTTCAACAAAGATTTGTTGTATTTTGTCTGATCCACGAATCCATTGCAAAACTGTGCTGCTATCGGTAATTTTTGGCTCCGAATCGGAATCTGTTGTGTAAACAAGGTAAGTTACTGAAGCAAGAGCTGCGTATGAGACACCTGAAAAGATTTGCAAGGTAATTTCTGAGGTAGGCTCTGTGAAATAGTTGCGAGGCACGTGGAGCGGTTGAAGTTTGTCGGCTTCTTAGAAGAGATCAAAGGGCTCGGGTAGATCCTCTTTGGCAATTTGATCGTCCCATTTTAGTCCTTTTCTCCAAATGTTTTGCTGTAGAATTCGGACGCGAATTGTGACAGGTGCGGCGAAACCAATAGGGTCAAATAAGGAGGACGAAACATGCAAAAGGTTGCGCTGCATTGGCTTTATCCTTTTCAGATCCTAGAATTTGCTTTGGTTGAAAAAATAGTTAATCAGAGGAAATGTTACATTCAATTCTCATTATACGTTTCGTCGTTTTTGGGTCATTCAATTCGTTGTGAGATATGGTGCGGTGTTGCTGAGGTTTTGTTTATAAGATCTCTGGATTTGTAGTGATCCACTTAGTCAGGTTGACACTACCTGTGGCAAGTACTTTTCGTAGATCAGTAAATAGTTGTAATGCTTCTTCCACGGTGTTGGTTGACTCGTAAAAATTGTCCTTGTAGAAGTTGCTGTCGATAAGATCATTTGGCGCCAAAATTGAAACGAATTTACTCGTAAAATCTGGCTGAGTTGTTTCCCAGATGAATCTGAGAATTTTCCTGTTTTCGGGTCTGACGGAAACTTGCATGTACATGCTTTCAATGTCTGCATTGATGGGATAGTTCCGTTCTATAAAACGGCAATTAACGGCTTAGAGATTGCTTAGAGGTCCGGTCCAGATAAAAGCATGTCGTTTAGGCAAACTCCTTTGAGTTTGGGTTTCGCGCTTGAAACTCTGCGGAGTTTTCTATGCTTATTTGATTTGGTCATTCAATATTCTGCCAGTATCCATCCTGCTGAGACAATCTCTTCGTTGGAAGTTTGCGAATGTACTTCTTGGTCAAATTGTTTGTGATTGTGTCCTGTACATTGCAAGCTTGTCGGGGTCGCTGAGAAGACGTGTTTTTGTTTTCTTGAATTGTTGAGAGGCAGCAAAGTAGCTGTTGGGAAGGCAGGCGTTCGGTTTCCAGAGAAGTCCAACTTGATACCCTCCTTCCGTGTGGGTGATAGTCTGCTGAAGGGTCTCAAGGGCGTGTTTTTTGTCTTTGGAGATAATTACATCCGGAGAGGTTCCGTAATATTCCATTCTCCAGGTTGACGCTCGTAGTTCGGAAAGGTGTGCGTCTTCGTTGATGTCGTTGTGGTGAGAAGAGTAGGCTCGGAAAACTGAGTTACCGAGTATGTCGGCTGTTGGACCAACAATTGTCCAACCAAGAGGTGCATTTTCTGGTCCTTTTATTATTGCTTGAGATGTAACAAGATCAATGTTGTTGGTTCCAATGAGAATTGTAACTTGGTTGTTGTCGAAGTTTGGAAAGTTGATGTTCTTTAGATGATCGTAACTGCTGCAGATGCTGTTGAGTTTATCGGGTTGAACATATTATAGGTTCAGCTTGTCGAGCACGTAAGCACGTTTCACTAGAAACTTCTCGCTGAGGTTTCCAAAAGGCTGAATGGTCAATTCAACAGATCGTGCTTTGATTTGTTTCGAATCGTGAAATCCATCGATGAAGAATTCTTCTGTTTCGAGGCTTTCGGCTAACTGAAGAGAGTCGGATGTTGGTTGTAGCAAATAACTGTCATTGTTTCCATTGTCAAGAAAGGCATATGTGTCAATATACTTGTGTTTGTTGCGAATTGTAACAGGTACATAGAGCAGTAATGAGTTTGCGAAGCGTTTCTGCTGTTGATTGACTGAATTGTATGGTCTGTATGAAGCTATTTGCTGCGGCGATGAAAAATTTCGAGCACTGTTGGGGTTTTGCTGTTGATGAATGCTGCTATGATATTGTCTCTTGCAAGTGACGCTTTTTCGCTTCGAAGTGCAATCCTTTACCATGAGTTGTCCAAGACAATTAAGACTATTGTTTTTTGCATGTATAAGCTTTCGCTTATCGTCAACTGTTGAATCTTTTTACTTAAGACATTGTGAGGAGTGATGATCCAGGTCACAAAAAGCGCAAGAAGTTCGTCTTTTTTTCCGGTATTTTTGTGTTCTCCGGAAATCTGTCGTTGCGTGTTTGGGGCTGGTTGCCGCGATGGTTGTTGCTTTGACGTTCACTGTTACTTTGTTGACTTGATGAAGAAGATTGGCTAGGCGAGGAAGTGAAATTTTCCTGGGGTAGATAGTCACAAGCTAAGGCGAATTTTCTGAGCCAATGACTAAAATTGATGAGTCTGGGCTGCTGAAGGCTGTGGTTGATGATGTGTTGGGTCCATTGTAGTCGCTCAGAGTGGTGAAGTTTGTTGGCTGCAAACAGCACGTAAATAGTGGAGTTCAGGTCGTTGGTGATTTCAAGTGTCTGAAAAGTTTCCACTAGATTGCAAATGAAAGATGAAAATTCCATAAGCGATTGCTTATGTTGCGTTGAAGGCAAACGGAGTTGTTGTAGCTTGTTGATATGGTTGTTGACAATTCTGTCTGGTTTTCCAAATCGTAGTTCGAGTTCTTGAAGAGCTGTTGTGCACATAACGGCGCTGTTGCATGAGTATCCGGCGATAGCTTGATGAGCGCGTCCTGTTGTCATTGTTTGCAAGTGTGTTAGCTCTTCAGCGTCGGAGGTTGCTTGACTGTGATCAGTTGCTTGGAATAAGCCGTACCACATGTTCCATTTCATCGGATCACCGTCGTACTTGTCAACTTTGATCTTCGGTAGTCGAGATGTCTGTGTAATCGTGGAAGATGAAATTGGCGCAGTGTTGTTGTGAGTCTGAGGCGTGAAATTGGTCGGAGGAAACGGTAATGCGGCAAAACTATTCAATTGCAGAACAAATGTTGCTTGTTGCTGTTGATTGTCTTGCAAATTCTGGTTGTTTTCGACTGATGTAGACATGTTTGCTACTGAAAACGATGGTTGTTGGTGTTGAGTCGAAGTGACTGCAGATGAATTAGCGCTAAATTCGATAAGAGCGCTTTGGTTGCTTGAAGCAGTTTGAAGTCTGGGTGCGTTTTGGTTGTTGAATTGGGCGCTATTGGCTGATGCAGATGTTGCGTCTGTTGCATTGATATTTCGTTTGAGTAGTCTTCTGTATTCACTGACAAGGTCGTCTAGTTTGTCTTCAATTCCAGTGAAAGTTGACAGGAGATCATCTGGCTGTGAGTCTTCTGTTGGATGGTCGATGAGGTAAGTCGTCGATTCCTCAAGCTGCTTCAAGAGTTAAGATGTTTCAGTTTTGAATTGTGTTAGTTCAACATCAGTTTCTTCTTCTGCGAAGGCTCTAGAAATTCGGCTGTGAAGTTTTTTTAGTCGTTTGATCAAAAATTTGCACTGTCCGGGTGTACTTTTTGTAGGCATTTTGTCGTTGAAATCTAGGTCGATTGTTTTGTTCGGAGTTGTTGATGCTGTTGTTGAGCTGTTGAATGTTGTTGTGGGGTTGATTGGTTCTGATCTGACTATTTTCTGTCTCTACCCAAATCTCACACTAGGACGAGAAGAGAAACCAAGTAACTGTAAAATTCAATTTCAAATATTAGAAACCAATAAAATATCACATCTGTAGATATTTGTATATGTCTCCCTGATACTAGAAAGAGAAAAAAATGTTTTCACCTAATGAGGACGTGAAACGTTACGTCAGTACGTCAGTAACCCGAACTATCGACGTGATGGGGACGTTAAGTTCTAAGTAGACCGGGGGAAAACAGTAAACAAACGAAAAACACGCAGTTTTTTCCCAATGTTTTGCGATTGCTTTTGATGTAGAGCAGGGAATCTTTCCACCAGATTAAAGGCTCGTTTAAAAGTTGAGTGGCATGTAAACTCAAAGTGTGCGGAACCTGTTTTATCTCAAGTTTTTCTATTCAATCAGTTTCCTTGTCTTGCTTCGAGAGCTAATAACAATTGTCAAGAATAATTTCAACGTTTTCGTGTTCATGAGTTTAAGTAAGTCAATTCACTTCTGTCTTTTTTTGAATGTTTTCACTTTCTTGTCGTTTTTCGTCTTGACATATATATGCGTGCAACATCTACATTCCTTGATTTTGTTGAAACCGTGCATCAAGCAGTAGTGCACTGTACAAACGCAACTTATAGCACGTTAACTATCTCAAATCTCCGGCAACTATCCCAAATCGGCTTAATCACCATTTTTCAAATCCCCTTATTTTCTCAAAAAATGACCACAAGAGTAATATCTTTTCAGGACAACAATATATTTCAAATGGCATAAAAAATGTAAAAAATGCTTAATAAACAAGTCGAAAATTGATTGAATATAAAAAATCTCACCAAGCATAAATATTCAGTACTTTCAATCTTCGAAAGTCGAAACATGTAAGTCTCCGCTTACGCGTAAATAGCACAAATTTTATAGCGCGTTAATTGTCTCGAACAGGCCAATTTGGCGATCTTTAAGTCCCCATAACTTTACGAATAAATATTCCATAATTTCTTTCAAAATCGGAACAAAATGACCACACGTGAACTATCTTTCTAAGTCTGAGCTCAGAACCAACAAAAAATGTCAAATGATATAAATTGAAGTCCGTCAAAAACACCTAGTCAGGAAATTTGAGTTTGTCCGCTGAAAAAACCACGACGAACGCAAATATTTCGTCACTTCCTTTGAAAATCGAAATAATAATACACTTTTTTAAAGCTTTGAAATAACACGTACCTTTTCTTTCTCCAGTCTGGATATGTGTGACTTGAGTTGAGTCATCTCGTGTTCTTTGATCTTGTTCTGCTCTTCCACGAATTTCAGTCTCTTGGTCAGTCGCTCCGCCTTCTCCGCCAGAATGGAGGCGTCCGCATTCTCACTCGGGGGACTGGCACTTCGCCCCTCCCACAGCGAGTGCTCCTTCGCCCCACCCACACTCGCTGGCCTCTGCACCAGTCTCAGGGGACTCTTGGTGGGAGAGCCGGGCAGAGAGGACTATTGAAAAAGTGTTAGATAAACATCAAATGGCATGTTTTTTGTTCAACATTTTTCATTGCAACTCATAAAAATGAGTTGGTTGACAGCAAAAAAGCGGTTTTAGAAGTCCCAAATTGATCTCCCCTCCGATATGAGGATATCCGAAAATCAAGCAAGGAAAATTAACCGCTTTTAGTTTCTTTTAAAAACAATATTTAAAATTAAGAAACAAAACAGAAATTATCTTGAGTATCAAATCTGAAACAAACAAAGATCTGTTTGAGAAAAATCGAATCCGGTTTTTTCAAAAGCAGGCTTTTTCCTAATTTCTTACCCTGACTGGAATTTTAGCCCCAGTACGAGGGGAGCTGAGGAGTGACCGAGGAGACGACGCTGTCTTCATTGCTTCCAAGTCAGTAAAAAACAATAATAATATGCTAACTACAGTTTTTTATTCGCAAATCACTGAAGAATCTACGATAATTTAAACCACATTTTCAAGTGACCATTTTTCGCATACCAAAACTCATGAACGAATTTAATATTTTACATGAACGAATTTTGCTTCAAAACGGTCCAATAATAAACTATTTTTAATTGGACCTGGCTTAAGTAATACAAGATCAATGTTTTATTATCTGATATGAAAATTTTTCTAACAGAAACTAATTTTCATATGGCATTAGTGCGGTTTGCGGTGCATAAATTTGATGTTTGTCTGCGAAGCTCGGTATCTTTATATGAAACGCGAGCTTTATCTTTTTTGTACATGAAAAAAAATTATTGTCGTTTTTCTTTCATCTAAAACAATTATATGACAACAACTCGTCAAAGTTATAAAAAACGCAAAAGCAAACAATTTAACGCTCATTAGCGCTCAAATTACGGATAACTCTTCTATCATGTAAGATGACCAGCGGCAAAACAACTGCGATAAATCATTGCCATCTAATTATCTAAAAGTCGATCACTTCATGCATAGTGTGTTAGATTTTTTATTCTGACCTTCGGACGAATAAGGAATTTTTGTAGCAGATATATTTTCAAAAACTTCTATGATCCAAATATCCAGCTTAACCTATGAACCCTCGAAATCAATTGAAACTTAGAATCAAGTGCGAAAATACACATTTTTCAAAATTTCAGTTCCACTTAGAAAAAAGTAAAGAATATTTTTATTTTAGAACTAAAACATCACAACAAGAGTCCCTTAAATTGATCAAAAAGGAGCCGTTGCATCAGATCTCGAAAACGAGTGAGTTTTTAGGAGGGTAACGTTGATTACATTGGTTAACTGCAAAAAGTTGAAAGTAACATTTCTTCCCAAAATTTTTTACTTTATTACATTTTATAATATGACAAAAACCGTTCGTTTTTGTGATTCTATGGAAAACAGAAAAAAAACAGACAAAAAAACTCGATTAACCTTATTTTTTTCTAAAGTTCAGTCATTTATTGACACCGGATTAAGTAACTGGCTCAATTCTTCTTTCCGCAATATCTAAAGCTTTTCAAGTTCAACTGCTTCCCAAATAACCAATTTGACTCCATGAATTGAAATTACTGGTAACATTGGCAAAGATGCTGCAGTAAAAATACCACTGTAACAAGAAGTCCACTGTAACAAGATATAATGGATATACTAGAAGTTTTACACTTTGAAAATGAAAAACCTCAAACATTTGATCCAACTATTGCCTTCAAAAAGTTTAAAATTTTTTGTTTCGAAGTTTCATCTCTATATCTTCAATATTTGCAAAAAACCGCAAAGATATATACAAAAAAATCTAATTTAATTGTTAATTTCAACAAGTTTCAGATTATAATATGTCCCGTGAAAGCATTCATTTGAAAAATTTTGTAACAAATGCGTTTAAAAAATGTGCAAAGAGCGGTCAAAACAACCTTGATGAGAAACCACATTCATAAGGCTATGAACCAAATAAACAGCTTTAGTTCCGGTTTTTCTCTACAATTAAACTGGTATATGAAATCATGTCAATTAACATCAACACAGAGGCGAAGCTGAGCCTCGCACCACTTGCAATACAACAATTATAGAAGGAAAGCACCATGATATTAAGAATTTAGACAACAGAGTTTCGATCTGTTTTACAATTAATTGAAGGTAGAGAAAAAAATACGAATAAAAAAAAACAAATTGAAAATCAAAGTTTTTTGTTCTTTTCTTATTTTAATTCATTTAAGTTTTTCAAAGGTTCTAGCGGGGTTGACTTGCGGCATTCAAAAACTGGTGCCCGAGTCTTATTGATTTCAACAGTACTACCAGAAATTTTAAGAAAAAGTTTGGTGAATAATCTAACAGAACTAAAGACGAAAGCCAATAGGCCGAAAATGTTCGTCATATGAATCATATTGGAAAAAATTGCATGTGACGCCCACCTAGGATCCACGATAGCTAAAAAAGTAACGTATTCACTATTGCTACACAAATTCTGGACTAAATAACTTGGAAATTAAACCAATAGAGCTTATGCCGACAACCATGAAGCCGAAAAAAAATCAGCAGAAAATTTATATTGAAGTTCTTTAATTATACAAAAATTAGTTTCATTTTGAGATATAACATGTACCAGTAGCAACTGATAGCCAGTAGTTAAAATTGAGTTTTCATAAAATTGAGCATGCCAGCAGCATAGCAGAATCATAAAAGATTTATCTGATATTGTTAAGCTAGTTCTTAACCCAAAAAATCATATTCCAATTTGATAACGCTTGCTAAACGCAAACGTATGAACAAATAACAGAAAACCGGTATCTTCTCCGGCACAAATTTCACAGTTGATCGTTTGCTGGATTTTCGAATATTTTTTCATTTTGCACACCACCAACTCCATAAAAGTTTTTGATAAAGGAAATCAGCGAAAATCTTGAATTTAGGTCAACTGCTTTTTATCATTCCAATTTTTAAATGAAGTCGAAACTATTTGGAACCTGGGTAATTTTTAGAACGGAATTTAAAACCAAGGAGAAGAACAGAACAAAAAGTTTTTTAAACATTAGAATATTTATTTCTTGTGAATTTAGTTTCGTTTAACTTTCTTTTTTTTGAAAATGGCTGTTTGCTTCATTTTATTATATAATTTTTCAAACTCTAAAACCAAACCCTAAAAAAGATGCCGTCGGCGGCGGCAGCTATTTTTATCGGCTTTTTTTGGTAAATCGTTTTTGAAAACTGACTTTAAGCGTTTTTCGTACGTGTAGCCAAAAGTCTCTATGCGGCGCAAAACTTCTGTGCAAACATGGTATTTGTAGTAATTCGGAAGAGCTACGAAAATCAAGGTTGTCCAACTAAAAAAAAGTTCGACAAAACTTTCATTCAAAAAATTTGCTTTCCACTCGGGAAAATATTACTTCGTACCTCAATGAGACCAAACGATACTCTAAAAAATTTCAGGGTTTTGGTTTTGCAGAACAAAAAACTGGAAATGAACTAAGTAAGGAAGCCTTTTGTTCATTTTTGCCTTTTTAAAATGTTTTACGACTGAAAATAGCCTGTCCAGTTCCTCCTCCTCGCCAAAATCCTGTATTATCTCCGTATTGAATACCTACCACATTTGATCAGTCGTAGGATATGTAGCTTGTAGATCTACGGTTTTCCATCTCCAGTATGTTTGTACTCACAACAGAAAACACATCAAATCAAAGCTCAGTTCAAACCTCATTTTGCTTTTGTATTGTTGGCTGACCTTTTGGCTGACCTTTTTGTTTTGCAGAACAAAAAACTGGAAATGAACTAAGTAAGGAAGCCTTTTGTTCATTTTTGCCTTTTTAAAACCTTTTACGACTGAAAATAGCCTGTCCAGTTCCTCCTCCTCGCCAAAATCCTGTATTATCTCCGTATTGAATACCTAGCACATTTGATCAAAAAACAAATTGAAAATCAAAGTTTTTTGTTCTTTTCTTATTTTAATTCATTTAAGTTTTTCAAAGGTTCTAGCGGGGTTGACTTGCGGCATTCAAAAACTGGTGCCCGAGTCTTATTGATTTCAACAGTACTACCAGAAATTTTAAGAAAAAGTTTGGTGAATAATCTAACAGAACTAAAGACGAAAGCCAATAGGCCGAAAATGTTCGTCATATGAATCATATTGGAAAAAAATTGCATGTGACGCCCACCTAGGATCCACGATAGCTAAAAAAGTAACGTATTCACTATTGCTACACAAATTCTGGACTAAATAACTTGGAAATTAAACCAATAGAGCTTATGCCGACAACCATGAAGCCGAAAAAAAATCAGCAGAAAATTTATATTGAAGTTCTTTAATTATACAAAAATTAGTTTCATTTTGAGATATAACATGTACCAGTAGCAACTGATAGCCAGTAGTTAAAATTGAGTTTTCATAAAATTGAGCATGCCAGCAGCATAGCAGAATCATAAAAGATTTATCTGATATTGTTAAGCTAGTTCTTAACCCAAAAAATCATATTCCAATTTGATAACGCTTGCTAAACGCAAACGTATGAACAAATAACAGAAAACCGGTATCTTCTCCGGCACAAATTTCACAGTTGATCGTTTGCTGGATTTTCGAATATTTTTTCATTTTGCACACCACCAACTCCATAAAAGTTTTTGATAAAGGAAATCAGCGAAAATCTTGAATTTAGGTCAACTGCTTTTTATCATTCCAATTTTTAAATGAAGTCGAAACTATTTGGAACCTGGGTAATTTTTAGAACGGAATTTAAAACCAAGGAGAAGAACAGAACAAAAAGTTTTTTAAACATTAGAATATTTATTTCTTGTGAATTTAGTTTCGTTTAACTTTCTTTTTTTTGAAAATGGCTGTTTGCTTCATTTTATTATATAATTTTTCAAACCCTAAAACCAAACCCTAAAAAAGATGCCGTCGGCGGCGGCAGCTATTTTTATCGGCTTTTTTTGGTAAATCGTTTTTGAAAACTGACTTTAAGCGTTTTTCGTACGTGTAGCCAAAAGTCTCTATGCGGCGCAAAACTTCTGTGCAAACATGGTATTTGTAGTAATTCGGAAGAGCTACGAAAATCAAGGTTGTCCAACTAAAAAAAAGTTCGACAAAACTTTCATTCAAAAAATTTGCTTTCCACTCGGGAAAATATTACTTCGTACCTCAATGAGACCAAACGATACTCTAAAAAATTTCAGGGTTTTGGTTTTGCAGAACAAAAAACTGGAAATGAACTAAGTAAGGAAGCCTTTTGTTCATTTTTGCCTTTTTAAAATGTTTTACGACTGAAAATAGCCTGTCCAGTTCCTCCTCCTCGCCAAAATCCTGTATTATCTCCGTATTGAATACCTACCACATTTGATCAGTCGTAGGATATGTAGCTTGTAGATCTACGGTTTTCCATCTCCAGTATGTTTGTACTCACAACAGAAAACACATCAAATCAAAGCTCAGTTCAAACCTCATTTTGCTTTTGTATTGTTGGCTGACCTTTTGGCTGACCTTTTTGTTTTGCAGAACAAAAAACTGGAAATGAACTAAGTAAGGAAGCCTTTTGTTCATTTTTGCCTTTTTAAAACCTTTTACGACTGAAAATAGCCTGTCCAGTTCCTCCTCCTCGCCAAAATCCTGTATTATCTCCGTATTGAATACCTAGCACATTTGATCAGTCGTAGGATATGTAGCTTGTAGATCTATCTCCAGTATGTTTGTACTCACAACAGAAAACACATCAAATCAAAGCTCAGTTCAAACCTCATTTTGCTTTTGTATTGCGATTCATTGTTTGCTACAAACATCATTAACAATTATTCAGAAAAGTTAGCCGCCTGTTCGACTGAGCATCTCAAACTAAAGACTGTTTTGATATTCTTGGCATTTCCATGGAGTCGGAAGCGAATACGGGATGGGACGATTGCTCACATATCCTGTCTAGCGAATCACAGGTGAACAAAATCACTGATAAAATTTTTCATATTCAAACCAACCAATTTGTAAATGCGGGAAAACAGAGAAAGTCAACAAAATCAAATTGGTCAGCCTACGAAAAACGTATCACCAACTTCAATAAAAATTGTTCAAAACCAAATAAAAGAACTAGCAAAAATACAGACTTTCCATGCAGTTTTTTTTGGTAAATTTTCTTCAAATCGCTGAAACTAAAAACTATATTGAAAAAGGGACAAAAAACTTGAATCCTCAAACTTCTCCTCAGCAATGGGGGTAGGGCCGACTGCACCACTATTCAGCTTCAGTTGTTTTTTTTTCCAAAGTTTTCCTCTTAGTTCAACTTTTGGCCACCTACCTAACAGTTGAAAGAATTGAAAAAAGGCCTTGTGATGAACTGAAAATGAGAAAAAAAACTGTAGCTATTTTGAAAGAAAAATTTCTTCATCAAAATAATGAAATGAACTGACCTGAAAGTTATTCGAGTCTAAATATTTCAATTTTACAAACTGATAATATTTAACCTAAAGCCATGTAACGCTTAAACTGTCCTGCTGAAGCGATCGAGAAGTTGAATTTCACGTCGATAGAGTATGAAAAAAGATAAGGTAATCTTTCAATTCAATCTTGATTTTCTTTTTATTTATTAACTTTTTTGTTTTAAACTTACTCACGATGAACCCAATGGATGTTTCCGATGAATATAGAGCCTCATCTTACTTACAGGACGTCGTGAGTGATAATTCAGAGACAAACAAAAATAAGTGAAGTGTACCACGAAGTGAAAAAATTGAGAGCTCTTACAATTGAACAAGGCCAAAAATAAAATGTATCATGAACAAAGTCACACCAAAAAAAAGCGCTATACGAGTAAAGGTTGCGTGGTGATAGTGAACCCTCCTTTCAATGCGAGAAATGTTATTGATTTTACTTACGAGCTAATTATTGTGATTTTTCAAACGGAATTTGGGATTTAGAAAAAAACAGAGGATACGATTAAGCATCTCACATTTTGCCTGTCACAGCGTTTGATGGATTTTTATCGAGCGTAGTATGTCAATTCATATACGTTGCATTTGAAGATGAAATGTTTCAAGCTTGTCGTCAATTATGCCATAAATTTAATACGAGAAACCAAAAATAGATTTTACTTGAGAAAGTGTCTGCCCCCATTTGTGGCTGAACTTAAGACGGAGGTTGCAAAAATGGTAATGATTACTCCGACAAACAAATGTTTAGTCTCGATTTTAGTTGTAATTTTGAGCGCGTACGGTACGATACGGATTTGAAAAATGAAAAGACTGCTATCAACCGCAATCAACCAAGTGTATCGAGAACTGCCAAAAAAGATGACGATGAGACATCTCCAGCTTATAAAAACAAACCACTTGCAAATACTGAACATCATGAGAAATGATAACTGAGACGGAAACTCTTAAATTAAGTCATTTTTGATATTTGTAACATTCGCCCGGAAGATACATATCGACGGAAAGTAAAACTAAGTCCTAAGACGACTGGCTAACGTCTTAACAGAACTTTACATGCTTTTCACCGTCTCTACCAAGCCAGTACTTTCGGTGGTCTTTCTAACATCGGGTCGACAAAAAACGTTACTGCTTTCGGCTTCGGTCAAAACACTCAAATTAACTTAATTACATGCAGAAATAGTGAGCTCATGGCTGGGTCTCAGTATCCCCAGACCACGAGGTCACTCCTAAAAACAGGGCTACTACTACTTATTGAATTATTATTGTTTTTGTTCAGTAGATAAAATCATCATCTCCATCGAAGATGGATCAACCCTTTCCCCCAACTCCTAGCTTCTCATCCCAGCAAAATGAATTCAGATGTTAATTAAATTCAAATCAAGACATGACAGGGAAGCTAAATGTTTATATAAGATGATAAAAATTTCAGTCCCGAAACCCCTCCGGGTTCTCGAATCCACTGAATCAAGCACGTTAAGCTTGATTTCTCTGTAACCCGGAAGGCTGGTTTCCCACCCTTCACCGTTGTTCGCAACGGCCTTGCGACTATTGTAGCGACACAATAGTTGCAACTCGGAACGGTCTCTGCTATTCCTGCAATCTGCTGTTGTTTTTCAATCACGATTTCCGTTGTTATCGTCAGCGCAACTATCGTTGTTGTGTTGCTTTTTAGCCTTTTCTGCCAAAATGGCCGTTTTTGACGTTTCTGAGAATTGTTACGTCATCACTTCAAAAATTTAAAATTTAGGAATTTCCGAATCCTTCAGCCTTCACGATTTTTCCAATCGTTCGAATAACGTTCTTATTCCTTCTAAATCGCCAATTCGGAAGGTTCGCTGCTAAAAACTCCTAAGCTGCAGAGATTGCATTTTGTCCATTCTGGTCGAATGTCACATACTCTACGGACAGTCCGGTCAATGTCCTCATTGAATCACGCAATGTTCTTAAAATAGGTACAGTGTCATCGAACAGAATTTACAAAATGCACGAAATTATTTTTATCCACGTCACATCGTCTCACTGCAGAAAATAAATGGCATCATACCACATCACTATAGCCTTCAAATTCTTTCATTAATCTGCACATTGAGATTATGACCTAAGATAAAACATATTTTCCGACTTCCAATGTCAATTACCCGATTAAAAACTTTTTCTCTTAGATTTAAAAGGTGTTGGTTTGCAGGACAGTCCTGCCAACCAACAAGCTTAAATTATATTACTATGATTTTTCCTTTCGGAAATCTTGCTTGTTTTTGTCCTGAATATCAAAACTAAGAAACTCTGTGGTTAGAAAGAACAATGAAACAATCTCCCTCTTCGAGAGATTACCCAAGCCTTTCATGTCACCACAAAGTGATCAGTTCTCCTAGCTGATTAAAAACAGTCATGTAGGCTGGAATATTTAAATATACTCCTTTACTTAAGCCTTCCTAAATAAATAGTAAGTAAGTGTCTCTAAAGCCACTCAACTAAAATCAAAATGCAAATTTATAAATGCAACAATTTCAAAACTCAACTAAATGTTTCAGTTTTCAATTACAACTTGGTTGCTTGGTTTCTCACTTTAGTTTTTTCACACACATAAAACAATTCTGAGTTTTAATTTTTTCTTTATCACTCCTTTGTTCTCTTCTTCTTTCGTCGTTTAGAAGTTCTAAAACTTCTAAATTCTTTAAATTTCATATCTTTTTGCATCTCGTTTTTCGGCCATTCGTCAATGTTCCATTTCTTCCTCCTGTGATACTGACTCTGCACTCTCAGTTTCCGTATCCTGCAACACGTTGTTAGCTATCCTGACGCTGCTGGAAGCCGTCCTCCAACACTTCTGCTCTTCTACCCTCTGTTTGCAACAAGGTAGGGGATCCACGTTAGATTCTCTGTTCCTGCAGAAGCTGTTGTGGAGACACAACGTCACGTTTTTCTCCTAATCTTCCTTTAACATCTCTGCCTTCTCCTTTCCACTACGTTCACTCGTCCTGGGAATTCTTTTCACAGCGGTGGTCACTGCATTCCGATGAGTCACGAGAGCTCGCTTGAAAGCTCCAGCTCCAACGTCCAGCTGATATTCACTGTGCACCCTGCCGTGCTTCGACATATGCTTTTTCGCATATTCGTACAACCATGCAGTCATGTTAGCTCTGAACCATGGCATCAATCGTTTTCTTGCCCATATCTTTTTCACTTCCATCGAAATGTTTAGAATTTTGCACATTGTCTCAAAAAGATCTAAATCTTTTAGACATTCTAATTTTCGCAACTGTTCTCTCGTCGGTGCCTCCTCTCTATTGTTTTCTCTCACATGAGCTTCCAGCCATCGTATCGCCATCTAACTCCCACTATCACTATTGTTATGGGCTGTGATGAGTCTGGTAATTCCATGGAGAGCAGCTCTCCAGAGTCCCAGATCAACATCAGATTACTACGCTTGCGATACCACCAGGTCTGCAGCAAGCAGTGGCAGGGAAACTCGTCATGTGTCAACATGATGCTCCTCCAATTACGTTTTCCCGAAGCTTCCAGTAATGGCTCCACTTCCATCATCACTCGGTGGACTTCATCATTCTCGTCTACTGTATTGTAATCTGTGACAGTTGATCCTCTCTGTTTCTGTCTCTCAAAGTCACCGAAGTTCCCGCTCACATATCCCATGAACTTCTTTCCTAGTATTGACTCCAACTCTTCCTTGGTTCTCTCTGGAACTGCTGAGAACATCTTACATAGCAACTCGTAAGACTTCTCGCCAGTCTCACACACTTCGGCACTGAGAAGGCTTGATCCACGATCGTTCTCGTACTCTTTGTGTCCACAGCTACAAAATGTACAGGGTATCTGCTCTTGCACATTGGAGCCAATGTTGAACCCACCAAATATCGTGCTCCTGATGGTCTACAATAAGTCTCACTGTGCCTGATGTTCATTTCTGTCTCGATTGCATCCCTCCATTTTCCTATGTATTTCTGCTCAGTCTGCAGAACTCCTGAGAATACTTCTACACTGATGGCTGTGACCATCTCATGTTTCTGTTCTAGATTCAATAGTGACTCTAAAGAACTAAACATGCTGTAGAATCCGAGTGCGGTCACTAGATTCACCTCGGTTCATCCATGGCAATCTGCTATCAGTTCCGTTTCTGTTCTTGCTTTCATCACTACGTTTCCAAACAATACCGTCAATTGCTTGTGTTATTTCTCCAGGGTCTTCACACAGTCCAGACCTCCACAAACGTGACCCTCCAGTCCACAGACTTCGGCCAGACAGCTACCAGGTTTGACCCAGTCTTCTGGTCCCCAGCCAGGCAACTCCACTTTATCTTCTCCATTGCTCCTAGAGGCCGTTATCATCACATTATATATGATGTTGAGGTCACGCAGGTTACAGTCTGCGTTCAGTTCCCTCTGCACGTCTTGTGTAGCCCGTAATATCGAGTCAGCGTTGGGACTAGGACACCATGATGGCCTCATCAATTCCCACACTGCCATCAAGCTCGTTCTCAGTAATTCATCTGA